CTTTGCAAACATTAAGAGGACATTAATTTTGACAGCCAGGTGATGAATACTTCTTTGAATTAAATTATAGCCCTGGTGACTTCAAGGATGTGTTCAGCTGTGGAGGAAATACTTTAGGGATTGATAGCATGCTGGTGTAGGAGGTGACCAGGCTGAGTTAATGAGACCAGGAGGGGGTCATATATATCATCAGTCATGTGTCCTTTCATGCCCACAAGAGATCTAAGTCCAGCTCACCTTGATTTCCTTCTACTTTTATCCCCCGCTAATTTCAGATTCTTGTAAAGAACTCAAGCTTACAATAAATCTTTATACCCATTTGAACTGTCCTGATTCTCCTGGCACTTGACAGCTAGGCCCCCTCCTTGTAGTTACTGATAGTTTGATTGATTATGTGCCATTAAGTTATTTTTGACTCCTAGTGACCACATAGATAGATTTTTCTCCATGATGATCTACATCTGTCTTATTCTTTTAGGTCTCCTAATGGTCACACCACTGTAACAGAGTATCCTCTTCTCATTCTTTCCACTTTTTCTAGCATCAGATATTTTCCCAGAGAGGTCTTTGCATAATATGTCTGAAATAGAATAATAATAGCCTGGCCATTTATGTCCTGAATGAGAAGTCTGGATTGATTTGTTCAATGATCTATTGATTTGTTTTCTTACCTGTATTCTTAGCAGTCTTTTCCAATACCAAAGTTCAAAAAGAATAGGTACTACTGTTTTTTTTTTTCTTGGCATGTTGTGAAATAGGAAGATTTTTATTTTTATTAATGGTTATTTGGATTTTGTTTTTATTTCCTTTTTTTGCAATATTTGGGAACTGTTTAAAACCTTGTTTGGGATTGAGCAACATATACATTGCATAAATAAATAAAATAAAAATAACAGATATATACATCTTTGCTGGCTTAGGGGGCAAACAAACAAAACTTTCCTTTCCTGGAATGCTCCTAACTCAGCTTTTGCCACACCCTCTGTTTTGGCCTTCCTGATGATGAAGTTACTGAGCCTCCCATGGAGGCAGCCCAAAATTTGGTTACTGGCTTTTCCTTTGGGAGGCTAGAGCCTCAACTCTACTCTTCAGAGGGAAAATCTGACTGAATTTATCGTTTCCTGCACATCATCCCGGAACATTGGATTGTAACCTATGTGTAACCGGAGAAGGTTGCTTCTAAATGGAAGATAAAAAGACTAGATTTTTAATTTGTTTTTGGGAGCAATGATACAGCTGTTGGTTTGGAACCAGTTATTAATTTTCTGTTATTACTGGGCTGCTCAGAGACTTGTAAACTGCATCAAAGGCAAAATGTATCCTCTAGTCTAGGCCTTATTTCCAATTATGTGTAAGGAGAGTGATCAAATGCGATCTGGGGACACATTTCAATCTAATAAGGTGGCAAAGCACAGGGAATAAACATTTGTTCATACCCCTTTCAGCTGTACCTTTCCACAGTTAGAAAAACAGAAAAGGAGTTAGACATAGCAGGCCAAACAACTGAGAAAATAAAAATAAATACAAATAGTCCAATGTATACCCATACCCCCCACTACAGTCCTCTATGCCTTTCTATCTTTGCAAAATCCTTTTTGTTTCTCCCATATCCATCTACTGCTCTGTACACTGCTTCTTGTTCTTTAAACTTGTTGCCTCTCTCTTTTTGCCAATTTCACAATACCAGTTAACTTCAATTGGTTTTTCCTTTCCCGTTTTTCATATATTTGTTTTGCAGTTGTAGACTAATTCATTCTCTCTCTCTGATGAAACCAGCTCAGCATCAAATTCAAATCAAATCAAATCACCTCAGATACGCAAATTTGTGAAGCATGCTTTTTCATATTCTTGTATTCAGTTCACATTCATTCATCACTCGTTCATTTTTGCTTCTGTCTCTTCTTGTTTTGCACAACATACTTCTTGAGTAGCCCATTTCCATTACAATTTACTTTTTTTTTCCTCCTAGAGCAGCACTTCCCAACCTTTTGGGCACTAGGGAACTGATTCCGTGGACAGACTTTTTTCTGTAGACTGGAAGATGTGTGATTTCACATGCTGTCTGCCTGGCCCAACTTTTGGCATGCTGTGGACTGGTGCCAATTCACAACTAAGAGTTGGGGACTTCTGTCCTAGAGAACCCACCTAGTGAACCCGTATAAGAAAGTATATATAAGATAAATTTTGCTTCTTTTGACAAATACTCAATTCCCACAAAAGATTTGTGCTGCCCATCATTTGGGTACATATAAACTTTTCCCTATCTATTTCCCACATTTAATAAACATTCTGAGGAGATACACAAATTCATCTACTTGCTGTAGTTTGTTGTCATTTACTTGCAATCATTCCCCCCCACATTACCTGTGGTAAATGCAGCAATTTTGATCTGATACAGTACTTTTCAGATCCATTTTTCCCTCATTGCATTTTATAATTAGTTAGCATAAGCTGTAGATAATTCAGTTTCATCCAACAAAGCAATATCACATACATACCAAAGGACACGTACAGGTAGTCCTTGACTTACAACCTCAAATGAGTCCAAAATTTCTGTTGCAAAGCAAGAGATTTGTTAAGTGAATTTTGCCCATTTTATGACTTTCCTTACAGATAACAGATAATCAGAGTTGGAAGGGACCTTGTAGGTCATCTAGTCCAACCCCACCGCCCAAGCGAGAGACCCTACACCATTTCTGACAAATGGCAGTCCAATTTCTTCTTGAAAGTCTCAAGTGATGGCGCTCCCACAACTTCTGATTGCAAGCTGTTCCATTGGTTGATTCTTCTCACTGTCAGAAAGTTTCTCCTTATTTCCAGATTAAATCTCTCCTTGTTCAGTTTCCATCCATTATTCCTTGTCTGGCCTACAGGCACTTTAGAAAACAGCTTGACCCCTTCCTCCCTGTGGCAGCCCCTCAAATATTAGAAGACTGCTATCATGTCTCCCCTGATCCTTCTCTTTACTAGTCTAGCCAAGCCCAGTTCCTGCAACTGTTCGTTGTATGTTTTAGCCTCCAGTCCCCTAATCATCCTGGTTATTCTTCTCTGTACTTTTTCTAGAGTCTCAACATCTTTTTTATAATGTGGTGACCAAAACTGGATGCAGTACTCTAGGTGTGGTCTTACTAAGGCTTTATAGAATGGTATTAGTACTTCTCTTGATCTTGATTGTATCCCTCTATTAATACAATTTAGGATTGCATTAGCTTTTTGGGGCTGCTGCTGCACACTGCTGGCTCATATTTAGCTGGTTGTCCACTAAGACTCCAAGATCCCTCTCACAGTTACTGCTATTGAGCCTGGTTTCACCCAGTCTATATGTGTACTTTGGGTTTTTCTTGCCTAAGTGTAGGACTTTACTTTTCTCTACATTGAATTTCATTTTGTTAGATATGGACCAGTGTTCTAGTCTGTCAATTTGGGCTGGTGAACTACAAGTGCAACAAGTTTTACTCCAATCATGTTTATGTTATCCTCTGTAAGTGGATAAGAATGGTAATCTAGATAATATCTTGCAAATCAACATATTGTTGCCTGTATCTTATCAACTCAGAGATATATTAGTGTCCTGACACACAGGTTATGTAGATGCACTAAACTATTTCCATAGATTCAACTGCAGAGAATTTTAGGGTGATATTCAATAACATGCTAAATTTAATTGGTATTAAGCTTGATTATGTTTGTTGTGGTTCATTCTATTGCGTATACCCATATTATTTGGTTAAATTGTAGTTCTAATTAAATTGTGTACCCTTATTATTTGGTTAAATTGTGGTCCTGCGTATATTGAATTGGATCATGATCTAAGCCAGCATTCTCCACTCTTACAGTTCTTGCTACCAGAATGTAGAAACTTGTGGCTTTCTTGTCTTGAGAAGAATAGATGAGATTCTCTTTCCAGAATGCTTAGCCAGCATGGCCTAATTGGAATGATGAGGATTGTGGCTCTATGTACTTTGTTGGGGTATAGGTTCCTTGACCTCATTTTAAACCACATGCTGTGCCCTTGAGCTGTGATCATCTCTTATTGTCCAGAACTTCCTGAAAATTATTTACTGTGGTACCTTGGTACTTCTCATTAATTGATTCTGGGAGACATGATGAGTATTAAAAATGATGAATGCCAAACGAACCATGTGATTTACACATGATCCTTTGTTTTGGCCAGAAAGGACATTCTGTCTGTCTCTTTTCCTGTGTCAGTGACCTTCCCAGCATGGCTGACTTCCTATCCGCCCTCTGCAGTGACCTTGCCTACATGGCCAATTTCCTGTCTATGCTCCATGGCAGTCCGCCTTTTCTTGTCACAGTGCATCAAGACCAAGCAAACAATGAGTACTGGGACATTTTTATGTCAAAATGTGTTGAGTACCAAATTTGACAACTTTTGAAGCAGCTGAGTACCTAGAGATACCACTGTGATTGTTTATTCTTGTCTTTGTATTCTGACTTTTCCAACAAGCTCAAGATAATATGTAAATGTTTCCTCTATATCCCCTCTGCCTTTCATTTTTATTCCCACAACAACCTCATGACTGAGTTGGGTCTTTTCATGGTTTTGTGTGTGTGAGTGTGTGCTTGAATCGGGGTCTTCCCAATTACAATTACAAAGGCGCTTTTCCAAAAGGCAACCTTCTTTGCCTTTCCAACTGGACCTTCTTTGTTTTTCCTTGAAGACATTTCACTTCTCATCCAAGAACTGAGGAAGCTTCTTGAATGAGAAGCGAAAGGTCCTCCAGGAAAAACAAAGTCCCGTTGTGTCTTGGAAAAGCACCTTTGGGGCAGCCATGACCTGGATGACTGAGAATCTCCATAGACATTCAAAATTACGATCTTGTGTTGTAACTACTGGATCCCATTAACTCTCGATCATTGATGATTGCAAGTGTTATCATTTTAATAGCTGGAATGTTGTTTGGGAGGAGAGAAGCTCTTTAAATTTAATCACAGTACTCTGATTCATTTTGTTTCCTTTATTTGTTTCTCTGTTCCAGCAAGTCTTGATCTCTTGGGACCACATTCTCCATGGCATGAAACACAGGCAGTGACTTGGGCCAGCCAGCCACCTCTAACCGCATGAAGTGGCTTCTCTACAAAAGATGGTAGGGAAATTCAAGCAGAACCTCTTGCTGGTGTGTTTGGTGATTAGTTCAGTGACTGTCTTCTACTTGGGGCAACATGCTATGGAATGCCATCACCAAATAGAGGAGCGAAGCCAACTGACCCGACTAGAGCCAGCCAAAGCAACCACAAGAACCAGCCAGAACACGAAGAAAAATGCCACATTGGCTTATAACAAAGATATGCCTTTAATATTTATTGGGGGAGTACCCCGGAGTGGCACCACCTTGATGCGGGCGATGCTAGATGCTCACCCGGACATCCGCTGTGGAGAAGAGACACGGGTCATCCCTCGGATTTTGGCTCTCAAGCAGATGTGGGCCCGATCAAGCAAAGAGAAAATGCGGCTCAATGAAGCAGGTGTCACAGACGAGGTGTTGGACTCAGCCATGCAGGCCTTCCTCTTGGAAATTATCGTGAAGCACGGGGAGCCAGCACCTTACCTGTGCAACAAGGACCCCTTTTCCCTCAAGTCTTTAACTTACCTTGCCAGGATTTTCCCCAATGCCAAGTTTATTTTGATGATCAGAGATGGTCGAGCCTCCGTTCATTCCATGATCTCCAGGAAGGTCACCATTGCTGGCTTTGATCTGAATAGCTACAGGGATTGCCTGACCAAATGGAATCGTGCCATTGAGATCATGTATAACCAGTGCTTGGAGGCTGGCCTTGACCATTGCATGTTGGTGTATTATGAGCAGCTGGTCTTGCACCCCGAGAAGTGGCTCAGGAGGCTCTTCAAGTTCCTCCACATCCCGTGGAATCCTGCAGTTTTGCATCATGAAGAAATGATTGGGAAAGCTGGGGGAGTGTCCCTATCAAAGTGAGTCTGCTTCTTCCTGAGTGGGGTTTTTAGAAAGTCTTGAGCTGGACATAGTTTGTCCAGCTGTTTGTTTCCTCTAAAATACTCAAAAAGGATTGGTATATTTTGTTTATAGTCAGGGTTACAGATAACAATAACAAAAATGAATCCTGAAAAATTCAGAGAAATACAAATACTTTTCAGCCCCCCCCTCCCCCCCCCCAATTATGGTCATTACCATACATTTCTGAAATCTGTACATGAAAAATTCTCATGTACAGATGCCAGGAATTACCCTTCACTGCAGAAAGGATAGGGATGTGGGATGGAACATTTTTCTGTTGTTACATTTTCAATCGTGGAAAAATTCTCTGTTTCTCAAATGGCATTATTTTAAAATTATATACAAATTAGGTAAAAGGGTACCCATTAGTCCAACCTTCTTCACAGGGTTGGTGTGTATGTGGGGGTGTGGGGAGAGGAATGGAGGAGAGACTGCCTTGAGGTCTTGAAGGAAAGGAATGGTTGTTGTTATGGAATTGGCTCCCTTGAGACTTGGGCTTAGCAATTTGAAAATTACCTACTGTTCTCCTGCCCGAGTGGAAGCTAAATAGAAGAACAAGGGCAGTAATTCATGCAGAGATGTAGCAGAGATGTACATGAAACCCATGGGGCTTTTCATCATTTCAGTGCATGCATTCCTTATGATCAACAATGACCACCCTGTAGCATGCAGGTTGGGAGTAACTGGCTTATTGTTGGTAAGATAAACCAGCAGGATCATTTTTTCAATAGTCGGATCAAGACTGAAGGACAAACAAGCCTCCTTTTACTTTCTGATTTCTGATGCAGTCTTAAAACAGAATATGAAATGCTGGTGCTGTGCAGAAAGAGAGAGAGAATATTTTGATTTCTTTGTAGTTATTTGTCTTCAGCAGTGCAAATATGCAGCAGACTAGAGCAAAAGAAAACAGGAGAGACATCCTGATAGTTAAGTACCAAAGTAGTGGATCTCAAACGTTATTTCTCCTCTTCACAGTGCTGCTTTTTAAAAGGAGATGGGGAGTAGTTTTAAACATTCACATCAACGGTTTTACTTATAGAAAATAATAGCAGTAATAATAGTAATGTCAATCACAAGGAAAACAAAATTCCTTCTGTTAAACAAACTAAAATTTTACAAAATCATTTCAAGTTTGAAGCATGAAAACTTGCAGGGATTTTGTGAAATTTGAATTAGTCTAACAGAGGAATTGCTCCTTGGTTTTTTTCCTACCTAATTAGTACTTGGCAGCTCACAGTAAAAAGAAAAGGAAACACAAAACAATTTGAATCCTTTTAAAAAATCCTTAAAATCATTAATCTATATTTCTGGACCAAACAAGAGTATTTTGATTGATTTTCTTAGAGAGGTAGGAAGAGTTGGCCCTATTGGTAAAAATTGATCCTGGTGGTTTACTGCTGGTTTAGATGCTAACTGTAAATACTGTTTATGGCATTGAAGCCACTGATCAGTCCCAACTTACATGCCACAATGTGGTACTGGTGAGAAGAAAATAACAGCTGGTCATAAGGAATGTATATACTCGACCAAAATGGTAAAGGGAATTCCTGCTGCATCTCTGTATGTGTCACTACCGTGATTTTTTGTTTGGGTGTTTTGCACAACAGCAGGAAATTAGACTACCAGGTGCAACCAGTCATGGTATCAGGGAACCCCAAGGGCTACAGAAAGAATGTCTAGAGGCAGCCTGCAGCTCTAGGGCTACAGATTTCTTGATTGAGTCTAATTGGATCATTCAGTCAGACACGCAGGAAAATTGTAGCTCTGTGTAATTGATTACTCTGTGTTGATCAAGTTCTTCTGGGTAGGAGTAATTTTTCAATGTCATTAGCTCTATTTGGATAATTCAATTATTCATGATTTGAAAGGCACCAGAACTCCCTACAGCGCTGTATCATGGTAGCAGTGTATCATGTGTGACTGTTCTAAGCCATTATCCTTTTAGCTGGAATTCTTATTGGTTGCATACATATTTCTATGTGCAAGTTTGTAACACATAATCCTCCCCTTTCTCTTTCCCTTTTCCCTAAAATTAGGCCTCCCTGGATATGTTTCCCCCTCTTTTTAGATGAAAAGAGAAAAATTGATAAACTCAATTAATCTACTGATTTAAAGCTTGCTGTGCAGACCATTAAAAAGAATGCTTAGCAAATGAAAATTGTTTGCACCCTCGTTGTGCTGTGGGTGTGTATACATGTACACATAGGGTAAGGTTTATCCTCTCATTTCATTGGACTCAGTTGCTTCCCCCAATATGGAGCAATATTTACTTAGAGTAGTACCCAGAGATTGTCCAAGCCTTACTCAAAGGAGTTTTGAACCTCCACAGTGGATCCCTGCTGCCTAGCTTCCGTTTATTATGGTTTGGGTGACGAGGCCAGTCCTGTACAATTTCATTTCGACCCCTCCAAACCCCTCCCCCCCAAAACAAACAAACAAACAAACAAACAAATCTGGATTGACATTGATGTGGAAAGAGGCTGCCTGATCTGGCAATAACTCAAGATAGCTAGAGATGCGCTGTGGCTGAAACACATTGCCAACGTGGCTTTTGGCGGAGAGGCTGGGTGCATGGAGTCTTGCCACAACTAGCACTGTAACTCTGGCATTTGCCCTCTTCTTAATAAAAAACATCTGGAGCTAGTAGGGAGAACATCATTTTTTTAAAGGAAACAGCCAGCACCGGATTTTTCCCCCTTTATTATTGTCAGCAGAGCCACAGACAGAAGCAATTTGAAAATGAATGTAGAGGGTGGGTTTTTTTGTGAGGTGGGAGAGAATATTAGTTGCTGTCCTGTGTTTGAAGTCGAGAGAGTGAAGGCTTCTTGGAGAAAGAAGCTTAATGCCAAGTCATGTTTTTGGCTTGCCTGGCTCAAAATCAGGGATTGGCTGTAGACTTCCTGGATTTCAGATAGAATTTTTCCCAGCCTTACTCAATGCTTGATTGGTCTTTTCCTCCTTGCTGGCAGCAGAGAATCCGAAATTCAGCTAACTCAGGTATGGATCTGAAGCTGGAAAAATGCTGTGATGTGCTTGTTGGAGCCTCCTTCAAGATGCTGTTTTTTCCAGAGTTTCCATGGTCTTTTTTTTATGAGCTGCTGAATCTGAAGAATCTTTCTTTGGATCCAAATACCAGGCACCTCTGCTTCTATAGCCAGCATACCAGATACTGTGGGAGCTGTATTCAGAAATAAAACTGCCTCTAAACATGGAGGTTTAATTAGTCCATCATGGCTATTGGCCATAGTTACATATTTTTCTTTCTTTTATTGTGAACATGCCTCATTGTCCATTAAAATTGTCAAGGTTGGTGGTCCATTAAAAACTTTTGGTGGTTAACTTCCAGGGTGTAATGAAACACTGAGATGAAGAGTTTTCTTCCATCTGTCCAAAACATATGACAATTTTATTTTATTAGGTAATCCTGAATATTTGGTATATTGATGCAGATTCAATCAGGCCATTAGTAATGGCTCTGTCTGTCCTTTCTCAAAGACAAGCCAGAGTATGTTTACGTAACTTCTGTTACCAGGTCAATTAAAGCCTTAGCATGCATTGTGCAACAAGCTGCATTTGATTACTGTTAGCTGAAGTTAATATGGACCAATGTTTACAGTTAAAATATTGGATCCTGTTCAAATCCATGCTCTGCCATGGAAACTCATTAAGTAACCCTGGTTGCTTTCTTTCATCTCAGCCCATCTCACAGAGTTGATGGTCAGGGCATAAAATGGACAGTCCTTGTAGGTTGCCTTCAACTTCTTAAAAAAAGGCTTGATATCTAAATTTAACAAAACAAAATTATTTAAAATGTAGTTAAAATCATGTTGGCCAATCCAATTAACAGGATTGTTCTTTAATGACTTAATAATTTTGTCCTCCTATTGCTTCAAAAATTACAATTAATGATGATTTTGAGATGAAGTAAGACCCATGCAGGGCTGGGATTCTAGTTGATGATTCTAGGTGATGATTTGGCCCTGCCCACCCATCCCTGCCCTATTCTGTCCTTTATTTCTGGGGTTTCCGTTCAGCTGTTTGGCACGGCACAGCAGATTGCTGCTCCTCAGCTGATTTATTCACTGGGACTGGAGCAGAAGGTAAGTTTCGAACTGAAAAAGCAGTGTTTTCAAACACTGCGCGCATGCGAAGCGCACTCTCACCGAACTAGTTATTACACCAGTTGAATTGCACCCCTGGAGCCATGTTCTTGATGCTGAAATGACCTGCTGAGGCCTCAGGTTACACTCTCCTGCTAAAGAGAGATAAGATCATTTAGAGGTAATGCAGTAGAGATATAAAATTTCTGGATTTGTTGTTGTAAAAAAGACAATTTTTCTCATTTTTTTCTGGAAGAAAAATGGAAATATGTGCAATAATTGTATCCATTTTATCCTTCACTTATCTGCTTTAGGAATATAAACTGTCTTATGTATATCTTGCTTTACTCATTAGAAACTACCATTTCTGCATATTTATTAAATGTAAAATTCTTTCTAATTGCACAATAATGTACATTTATTCAGTTTTAATTTTTTTAAATCTTTGTTACAAATGAAGGTATAAACTACTGAACTCTTAAGAAAGCTGGGAACTTAATTTTTTCAGTTTGATTTGGTCACATAAATAAATAAGACTGAAAAGAGAAAACAAGAACAACACGACATTTAAATAGGATTATATATTCTCTTACATTTTTCATGGGTTTACATTTTAGAAAAACAGCTGTGGATATCAGGAAAAAGATACTTCACATAAAAATGTTGCTTTTAGATACTGCCTAGTTTCTGAGCTATTATTACTTTACTACCAGTTTCTGCATTTCCTGAAATTTTATTTTTACCCTCCCAATGGCCTTCAAATTCTTAAAATAAGAGGTGGCAATCTTCATACTCTTTTATCTGCTACAGGTGGTTCCTCAACTTACAACTATTCAGAAAAGTGACTTATGACCGTTTTTCATACTTCACAACCATTGCACCATCCCCATAGTCACATGATCAAAATTCGGACACTTGGCAGTGGACGGGAATTTATGACAGTTGCAGTATCCTGGAGTCAAGTGATCACCATTTGTAACTTTCCCAGCTGACTTCTGACAAGCAAAGTCAATGGGGGAAGCCAGATTCACTTAACAACAGCATGATTCACTTAACTACTTAATTGTTGACAACTGTGGCCCCAAAGGCCGTAAAATGAGGCACAACACACTTAACTGTCTTGTTAGCAACTGAAATGTTGGGCTACATTGTGTTAGTAAGTTAATAGAATAGAATAGAAAATAGAATAGAATAGAATAGAATAGAATAGAATAGAATAGAATAGAATTCTTTATTGGCCAAGTGTGGTTGGACACACAAGGAATTTGCCTTGGTGCAAATACTCTCAGTATACATAAAAGAAAAGATACATTCATTAAGAGGACTATCTGTAGTCATTTATGCATCATAATTATAATAGTTTGCTTCTGTAGATAAATTACAAGTATTAGGTCTGGAACAAAATATAGAGCACAGGTAGTCCTTGACTTACGACTGTTTATTTAGTGACCGTTCAAAATTACAATGGCATTGAAAAATGTGTCTTATGATCATTTTTCACAGTTACAACCTTTGTAGTATCCCCATGCCATATGATCAAAATTCAGAAGCTTGGCAAGTGGTTCATACTTATGACCATTGCTGTGTCCCAAGGTCATGTGTTCACCTTTTGCGATCTGAGAAGCAAAGTCAATAGGAAAACTAGATTCACTTAACAACCAGGTTATTAACCTTCTAGATTCACTTAACAACTGGGTTGTTAACCTGCAAGATTCACTTAACAACCAAGTTGTTAACCTATCAGCTGCAAGGATTCATTTAACATCCGTGGCAAGGTCGTAAAATGAGGCAAAACTCATTTAACAAATATCTCATTTAAGAACCAAAATTTTGGGCTCAATTGTGGTTGTAAGTTGAGGACTACCTGTAGTTATCAATAAGCTTTGTTTTACTGCATAAATATTTTAAAAGAAAATATTTCATTAAGGTTTTTTAAAGGACTTTTATTCCTTTTATTCCAAACATTTTTTTTTCATTTTTATGCCATTTTTATCCTATAAAACTTCATTATTCTACGTGGGGGAAAATACATTAATTTCCCTCAATATACATATGTGACATGCTCTGATCTGGAAGCCCTTTTTTAAATCTAAAGGCCTTTCTTGACTTGCACTTAACATGGTGCACCTATTGCAAACAACATGTAACAAACATGTTCTCCATGCTGCATCGAGAGCCCAGGATGGGTTGACTCCTTCCTATGATGTCATTTAGCTGAGTCTGTACTAAGATATAAAAGTCAGCCCCCGGAAGAGATCCCAGCTTTTGACTCGGCTCCTTTCAGTCAGTAGCTGTGTCTCTGAAAGCTTCTGTTAGATAACATTCACCAGCGATCTTCAGTGCCATTTTTCCTCGTTTCAAGCAAGGTTGGGAGCAGCGTTGCCAGAGTGCTGTTCAGGCAACTTGGGCAGCTTCTGTAGACCTTCCCCATGCCTGTGGTTTGAGCGGTTGTAAAAAGCGATCGGCAAACCGATAACAGCTTCAGCCAGCTGAGGTTCTGTAGATAGCACTCACCAGCGATCTTCAGTACCTTTTTTCCTCGCTTCAGCAGCTCCTGGATCTGGGCAGCTGCTCTTCCAGAAGAGCAGGGCTCTCTCTCTCCTGCACCGTTGGGAGCAGTGTTGCCAGAGTGCTATTCAGGCAAGTTGGGCAGTGTCTGTAGACCTCCCCCCATGCCTGCGGTTTGAGCAGTCGTAAACAGCGATCAGCAAACCGATACCAGTGTCAGCCAGCTGATCGTGTGGCCAGAGGCTGCCCTTTCCTTTGCTGACTTCACTTGAGGCTCTTTATAGCCTAGGGAGAAATTCTTCAATCTCGGAGCCTGTTTCCCATAGTCAGCGGCCATCTTGGATTGAAGCCTTCCACCACAAGGTGAGCGGCCATTTTGTAAGCCCGGGGGCCAATTTATACCCTAAGGGGCTTAATACAAAAAATTTACAAACAGTTTCTTTCCATCGTAAGAGCCTTTATTCTTCAAATGGAGCAAGATAAGGGTCAGGCAGAATTTCCCTGCCGAGTGGAACAGTCTCTTAAGCCCAGTAACAGAAAAAGTCATAGGCAATGCACCCAATCAATCCAGAGCGAGGTGGCTGCTAAAATGAGAGCTAAGGCTCTAGCCCCTAAGAAGGCAACTCAAGCTGAGTTGAGGGCAAAAAAGCGCAGACATACAGCCCTAGAGAGGCAGTTCAACAGAACTATTCAACAAAAGGGAGTGCAACTACAGCATGTTTCAGGTGATACCCATGGGCCTCCTCCCAGGGGAGGAGAAGTTATCTCTGAGCCTTTCCATCCTCCATCCTAGTCTCCTGAGGCCTTTGCAGTACAATATGATCCTCATGATCTAAGCAGATCTGGGACTTATTTCTAACAGGCTTCTGGGTCCTATGCTCCTCCCTCTCCTTCCAGGCCTCGAACCTCTTCTCAATCTAGGCCTGAAGCCACCTTCACTCCTTCAGCAGTGGGCCTTCAGCCTTCTGCCTCTACCTTTGAGCATAGACCAGGGGATATCCAAGATGTTGTCTCTTTGACCATTAGGCAGGGATTGGCTGAAGGCTTCAAGCAAATCCTTCAACCTCCAGAAAGGGTTCAGGCCCTTCTCCCGTCTCAATCTATAAGTTGCCTCATCACCCTGATTTATACAGGCCCCAGGACCTCAGGGTCCATTCTTCTCTACCAGAATGGGAGGAGGTTGATGAGGAGGGAAGGGCTTCACCATCTGAACACAGTTACTCCTCTGGTTCAGAATGTGAAGAGGGCGAGACCTTTGACCAAAATCTTTCAGAGGAAGAGGACTCTCACCCAGAGCAGACATCCTCTGAATTGGTCTTCAATCCTTCTCTCTTCAGGCCATTACTCAGCATGGCTTTGGTCACTGCCAAGCTGTCGCCAGAGGAAGTGGCTCCCAAGCCACAAGGAATTCCCTCTAGCCAGGGAGACTCATTCTTCTGCAAGCCTGTAGTGCATGCAGGGGTTTCTCCTTCTCCCACTTTGTTCCTGGACATGGTCAAGGAACAGTGCGCTTCCCCTTCAGCAGGTCCTCGCCCATCTTCTCTGGATAAGCGTTTCTACAACATCAGTGCAGCCCTGGACAATGCCCTGGCAGTGCCTTCTGTTGACATTCCGGTTCTGGCCTCATTTCCATTTTGTGGCACTCTCACGTGGGCATCCATACGGTAGCTGCACCAACTCCAGATTAGATTGCCTACCTTCGATCTCATCAAGGCCTTAATAAGATTATCACAGCGGCGGAATTCACTGCAGATGCCACTCTCAATTCTGCCAAATTTGCATCTAGGGCCATGGCATCTTCAGTAGCAGCGAGAAGACTGTTATGGCTCAGAAATTGGCAGGCTTTGCCCTTACAAAGCCCCCTTTTGAACCCCTTAGAACATTGTCTCTCCGCTTCCAGACTCTGAAGGTAGTGTTCCCCGTTTCCATCACTTCAGCCAGGCAGGTATCCGAGCTCGCTGCTCTTTCCATCAGACAGGACTTTTGTTCCTTTCATGATGATAGGGTTGTCCTCAGTCTGGACCACTCATTTATTCCAAGGGTTAACACCTGTTTCACAGGTCCCAGGACATTATGTTGCCTGGCTTCTGCCCCCTCCTGCACCATGACTTAGAGCAGCAGTGGCACTCGCTAGACGTAGGTAGGGCTCTTAGAATATACATTAAGCGCACTTCCTCCTTCAGGAAGTCTGAAGCCATTTTGTTTCCTTTTCCCTTCTCACTTGGGGCACAAGGCCTCTTCTATTAGCAGGTGGGTCAGACCTTGCATTGAGCAGGCCTACAAAGCTGCGGCCCTTCTGGTTCCTCAAGGTCTGACGGCACACTCTACCAGAAACGTAGCCACTTCGGCTGCCTGGGCAACCCAAGCACCCTTGGAGGAGATCTGTCATGCGGCCATGTGGACATCTTTATCTCCTTTCATCAGATACTACTGTCTGGATGTCTTTGCCTCAGCAACTGCAGCCTTCGGCAGACGGGTGCTTCGAGTGCTTCAACAGTCGGTGTGATGAGCTGGACGAGGACGCACCTGTGGACATGCAAGCTTTGGTATGTCCTATCCTGGGCTCTCGATGCAGCATGGAGGAGAATGGGCGTTGGTAGAAGTTACCCTGAATGCCCTTTCTATCTATGCTGCGAGAGAGCCCAGCCCCTCCTTTGATTCATCTGGAGAGGGTAAGTCATATTTCTGTATTCATTTATGCTTTCAGAGACACCTTTCAGTCTGTCAAGTATCTTCGCCAAAGCTGGGCTCTCTTCTGGGGACTGGCTTTTATATCTTAGTACAGATTCAGCTAAATGACATCATAGGAAGGAGTCAACCCATCCTGGGCTCTCCCGCAGCACAGATAGAAAAGGTGTTCAGGGTAACTTCTACCAACGCCCATTCTGGCAACATCCTTCTTCTGTTGTGACCCAATGACATTGCTTTCTTCTCATGTCCAGTCCATGACTGCGATGGCTTCAGGTCATCATAGGATTTCCTCTCCCCCATTCTGATCTTATCCAAAGACTCTTCAAACTTCACATAATTTATAGAGCTATGCTGGGGATTGGCAATGACTGGAAACAAAAGCAATAAAATAAATAGCAATGGGGATCGTAGATTCTATACAGGCTGGTTCAGTTTTCTCCAACTCAAAGATGCATGAACATATCAAAATACAAAGATTATCAAAAAAGCAGGTAGAGCTTGCATCCCATTGTTTTGTGAGGATAACTTTCATGCAACTATATCAATTAATATATCCATGCATATATTTTGGAGCAGAGTTGAAAGATCTACAGACCAAGTTATTAAGCCAGTTAATGTGGAAGCCTTGTCAAAATGGGTTGGAAAGATCCCCACAGACGTCCTTCAGGATATGCCAGTGATCGCACCAATGTTGGGGAAGCTTGGCTACGACCCCTATGCCAACCCACCCAATTATGGGAAACCGGATCAGAAAGTCCTTGAAAACACAAGAAGGGTAAATTGCTAAGTTATATTTGTGTACGCATATGTATGTGTATCTCATTTTCATTGAAATATGAGGCAGATGCTTTATAGAATGTGGGCAAAAAAAAAAAAGAAAACTGTTTTTGGAAGTATATAATCTTGGGGTTGGGGATTAAAGTCAAGAAGGGAACAATGTACAAGCCACTGCTATGTCCTTCAAAGGAGTGCATTTGATAAAGGTCTTTTTAGCACCCTCCCATTCAAATGGGTCTGGCATAGCACAGTTTTCCCCTCTATCAAACTCCTGGCCAGTGGGCCAGATGCGTCACCTGCTGGCCACGCCCATGCCCAATTTAGCAAAGGGGAAAAAGTCCAGATATGTCACGTGACACTGCTATGACGTGAGTTTGATACCCCTGCTCTATATGATGTGCATGTGCATTGGGATATTAACTCTCTTTTCCCTTGCTGCCTAACTGTTCTGGGATTTAAGATCCAATTCTTTAGAGGTTGAATATGTCCTCTGTGTTTCCTCTATGGTCTTGTAACTAAAAGAACCATAATAAATGCAATATTTCAAACAGTATCAGAAGCAACAGTAATGTACTGTAAATGCATTGCAAAATTACATGCAATGCACAAAATATTTTGGCTTATCCAACAGTTGGGCATTAACCTGGAAAGAGAATGAATGAAATATGGAAGTAAAAGTACTCTGCCTGGTTTTGTAACAGCATCTCTCCTGTAGTTAAGAAAAATGAGTTGAGCTCAGCTCTTAGTGACTTTATAAATATATCCATCTCAGGTGTTACTCTGGTAACCACAAGGTAGTGGTCTGCTTTAGCTTTTTAGGAAGTCTTTTGGGCTATCCATCCTAGTTCACTCAGAGGCCATGATGTGCTGTTACCACTCTATAGAAATTGGACGAAATTGGATGACTGGTTTACTCATGGCAGCTTTCCTCCTTTCCCTTCCTAGAATCTCTACATCTATTGACTCCCTCTCTCCCCCCAGCTTGATGATACTTTATTTTTCCTTAAAAACAACTCTTTGTAGGACTTCCTTCTTTATAAAAGCCTCTCCTGAACTTCAAAAGACCAATAGAAAGCATGTGAGGTGGTTTGAATCATATATGTAGGCTGTTCTCTTTTCCTACAGCCTCTCTGTATCAGCTTAATACTCAGTGCAATATAATAATCAGATTTCTATTAGATATTTTGGATCACAACCAGGTATTGAGTGTAATGGGCCCTGGAAAAGTATTAATATTTGGAGCATGATTTCTGTTTCAAAGTTTGTTTTCTTTCCTCCCAGGTTTATAAAGGTGAATTTCAACTTCCTGACTTCCTAAAAGAAATATCACAGGTAAGGATTCTTGTAGCCCTCATCTCACGAAGGATCTAGGGTAATATTGACATCAATGACCTTCTAAGTCAAGGCCATGCAGATGAATACAGTCAGAATTGTAAGTTGAATTCACCTGTGAAGTAATGTTGAGTTATAAGAAACAATGATCTCTAGCAGGTTCTGCCTCAACTTGCAGGATTGAATTGTTTTCACACCCAAGTTTTTTTTTATAAATGTACAAAAATATTTAACAAGCACTCCTTTTGTATATTCCTCAGTTACCATTTATTTCTTTTTTTTTTTGAAAATTTTATTTGGGTTTTCACAAAAAAAAAACATAATACAAATAAAACATTTTTTTGAAAATAGCATGGTCCTGGGTTATCGCTTCTTCATACAGACACAAACTCAAATTCATGCTCATTTTTGTGTTTTGTTCCATATTTTATTATTGTTTTACATTTTCTACATAGTTTTTCCCCTCTTTTAATTTTCTCAACTTTATTTGGATTTTCTCATCTCAATTCAAATCATTATATTTATACTTTGGTCTATCCTGTTTCAATTTCATATTATCTTTTCTCATTAAACAAATTTTCCCCTGTAGTTACTAATTGGAGTATAACACCTTTATATCTTTAATTTTATCCATTCAACTCTTATTTAAGCTTCAATGTATACCTTTAAGATTATAACATTCAATATAATACATAACTTCCAATCGAATTCTGCTTGGTACATTCTTAAAATACACACTATATTATTAAAAAGAAAAAATTATATATATATATATATATATATGTAAATAAAACACACATTCCATTCCAATTCAATTCTATCATTAATATTCATTAAAATCTTAACATCTTTAACATTTCTTTTCAATTAAATATCGTACTTCCTTGGGAACACTTATAATCTTTCCATAATTAATTCTTTCCCCCCCCCCCCATATTTCTCTTCACTTATATTTTATAAATCATTAATATAAAATGTTCCCATCTTTTCTTAATTTCTCTCATTCACTTTATTTCATTTATTTATTAACAAACATTCCACTAGATTACGATAAATATTTTATCCATCATTTTAATCATATTTTCTAAAATTATTTCTATTTGTAATATAACAATACTATCTTATGCACCTTTGCAGAATCCCTTTTACAATTAAGTTTTCACCCATTATCTCTAAACAGGCTTATACTTTCAATTCTTATACCTTTTCCCTGTTTTTCTATATCTTGTTTCTGTCCTTTATAACTTCATTTCCTTTCCTTCTTCCCCCTCTTCTTCTCCCTCCCCTTTTACCCCCTTGTCTCTCTACTTCTAATTCTCTCTTCTGTAATCCCCTCTTCTGTTGCTTTCTAATATTATACTTATTTTTCAAACTATTCTTTTTTTTGGTCATTTTTTCAAATCTTAAACTTTTCATTCTCTTTCCCCGCTTTCCTTTTTTCCCCCCACATAAAGTTACTTGATCATTAAAGATGGCTTCTTCTTTGTCCCAATCTTCTTGTTCTGCAAGCGTTTCTTGTTGTTTCTCATAGTTTCCAGATCTCCATTTCTAAGAGTTGAAATATGAAGCCAAAAGAACCTCTCCCTTCTTGTGCATCTTCTTTAAACTTTTTAAGTTCCATTTTCAGTTCTTCTAAAAGTGGTGCCATTTTAAACACTTTTAAACAACCACCCGATTGATTTTAGTCATTTAAATACAATAACCAAAAATCCAAAGATCACCAAGTAATCCAAATAATCCAAAGCTGTTTCTTCTTGCTTCTTTTTTCCACTTTCTCTTCCTGCAGTTCTACTATTTTGTTTCAGTTATTTCAGTTAAAATGTATCTTTTTGGAATCTTGTTGAGGTTTCACTGTAAATTCCTTTTAGTTCCAGGCAGTCTCCTCCATTTTTCCAGATCCTACCCTTTTATTCTTTTTCTCTCCTTTCCTGCTTTTAAAAGCTTTTAAGTATCCAGAAATAATTATTATCCCTTTGACATTTTATTTTCAGCTTAAATGCCTATTGATGTCAAAGTGGATTTTTTTTCAATTTCTTGCTTAAGTCACGTAGCTGTCAGTATAGGGAAGGGAAGAAAAAAACAAATCCTTTCCCTTCCCTCTCTCCTTCACTGCTTCAAAATCTTCTTTGGGAACAATGTTATTTTTTTTTATAATTTAAATTCCAGCATACCTTACGTTGTTGCTTTTGCAGTTTAACCCAATCAATCAAAACTTTTTCTTCTTATCTTCCTTCTGCACATTCTTTTCCGGTTGAGTTCTTTGCGGTGGCCATTTCTGACCACCGCTGCAACCACCTTCGGGAAAGGAAGTAATGGCCAGCTGAGGAGAAGAGATGCGGCTCTCCTCAACCCTGCTGGCAGTCTCCCCCCTCTTCACCACCTCTATAGGGTGGCTTAGCCCCAAAACCAGCCAGCTCGGGGCGCTCCGGTGGCGAGCACGGATCGAAACCGTGCACAATCAAGGTTTCGGTCTGTCGGCGAAGAAACTCAAACCGGAAGTCCAGTTACCATTTATTTCATCTTCCCCCAAGCTGGTACCCACCAGATTTATTGAACTATTTTAGTGTATTAAGATATATGTCATAGTCCAAAAATGTTGGACTGCAATTGTCAATAATCTCCAGCTGGCATGGCTAAAGGGGAGTTGAAGCCTTTTAGTGTGGCCAAAGAAAAAAATATTAAGTTAGCTTTCATTGGCAACTTTGGTAGAAAACATGAGGACCACATGTGGCTTTGAAAACTCAGATTATGCACCCACATTTTGTGGAATAACACACTAGTTTCATCAGTGGGGGGAATAGCCTCTGAAACAATCAATGAGAACAATTTTATCCCCAGTGAATATTGACTTTCTTCTCATTGCAGCTAAGGAAGACAGTAGAAAGGAAATCCCATATCAAGCTAAAGTGAAGAAGGAGTTGATAAAGTAGAGTAGTATGTGCTATTTGTCTTTTTTTAGAACACAGCCGCTTTCTTGGCTGCAGGCACCAGAATTCCTACTGATAAGCTGCTGTTGCGTATGGACCTGCATCTGTTCTGTCTCATGTGCAAAAGAGCTATTTGCCTTAGCTCTTCAATTCTTTTTGATCAATTTATGCTTTGGCTTGGCTGGCCAGTGCTTGACTAATTTGCAGTTGTAAAGGATTTATTCCTTCTCAGGTTTGTGTAGTGTTCCTTCTCTCCAATACTTAATTCTGAATTCTTGTGTGTCATACCCCCCAAAATGTTCTACAAATTTTGCATTTTAAGTTGCCAACCGGTTAAAAGAGATTATTTCCATTATTTGTTGTGTTTGATTAGAAAAGTTGTAAGAGTACTAATTATTTCTGGGAAACAGTGATTGGAAAAAAAAACATGGAACAAGAATAAAATAAAAATTCAGATGCTGAACAATTCAGTGAAAACCTGAATATGCTCAGCCTCTGTAGAATGTTGATTATGGAATAAAAAAAAGAATATGAAGGGATAGAATATTTGGATAAACTGCTTGACAGGCACTCTGAAGAGACTTTCACCTTACAACCTTTGGCCACAAGCTCTACATGTTCCATTAATTGAAGGAATCAGAAAGCATTAGCAAAAGAGCCTCTTATGTCAAAAGGATGAGAGGATGAGAGCTACCAAGGAAGGCTCATCTTCTTCAGGTCTGTGACATTCCTAGAAATATGGCTGACCACTGTTGAAAATTGAATGCCACATTCCATGGATTTTTCCCTCTAATCCTCATGTTTAGTTTTTAATCCACCACAAATTAAACATTCAGATATAAACAGCCTTATACCACAATGCAGTGTAATATCATGTATTGATATTTACATATGATATACTATGAGTCCTTTGTACTTTATTGCCATCAACCAGGTCTTTATTGCTAGTGTTATCTCAACCCAAGTTGGCATTTTGGCAAACTTGTTTTTGCCTTGTAATGAATTTCATTTCAAAGATTTTAAATGGTTTAGCTAAGTTTAGCTCAAAGCAGATTACATGTGCAGTCATTGCAGTACCAATTATTTGCAATAAGGTACAATAATTGAATTGCATACATAATTATGGTAGGGGCAACTCTAAAGTGCTAAAGTTCCAAAAACTATCCATAACAACTAAGTTTGGATAAGTTGTCAAAAGGCCAGGGAGTTACCCTTGCCTTATGTGGGCAGAGTTGTGGGGGGCGGGGGGGTGTTTCCATAAATGTTCTGTTACAATTGAAGTCTGATTCTAGCCAAAACTAAGTTAGATAGGCCCTTCCTTGCTCTGCTGAAGCAGGTTTCTTTGGTCCCAGTGACCTAAAATTCCAAGATATTCTGCCTTTGAACAGATGGGAATGGAAATGGAACTGTAGTTTCTTTAGGTGTCTGAACAAGTAGGCACAGATTCATGTTCCATTAATTTATCTTACCCCTTTTTAAAAATCATCTGCACTAGTATTACCCTGATGTGTGGAGAAAGTCTGCTTGCATTGTAGAAAGTAGTTTACTTTATCCTGAGTTTACTGTACTACCATTAATTTCCACAAGGTGATGTAATGGTGTTCCAGTATTAGAAGTTGATACAAATATTTTGAATTCAAGTATAGTTTAAATGTACATTTGAAAAATAACACTTTATCCTCCTCTCTTTTTTTCATAGACTGATGCGGTGAACTAAAAGAATGGATGTGACTTAATGTATGTAATTGTTTCATCATCCTCTTTACTTTAATTTAGCAACAATTTCATAGTGTACATGATATTTATTAAATTAAATTATTAAATTTATACGCCACCTATAATCACTAGAGTAACTTACAACCTTATTCTCGCTCTTTGAGCATAATCTATTTAGAAATGGTCTGTCACAAGGCCTCTTGAAATGGGTGCACAAATACATGTGAATTCTAGCATAACTTTGCTGGTGAAGAAGAGACCCTTGAATGTTGATTTATTTGGAAGCTGAATATGGTGGCCTTTCTTGGATGGAAATCCTTTTCAGTGGAATTTTCTGGCTCTGGCAATGAAAATGGAAATTTCCAAAATATTGCAGAATAAGAGCAGTTATATATTATTGATATCATTATCATTATTAGGTAAAGGTAAAAAAGTTCCCCTCGCACATACATGCTAGTTGTTTCTGGCTCTAAGAAACAAGAATTAATAATGGTATAATAATAATATTATTATTATACCATTATTAATAATGGTATCAAATAATTAGAATCCTTCCCTATAAATGAGTCAGTTAGAAAAAAGATAAAGCATAATAGACATTCATGTTAATGAATGGGAGCCAAAGTGTACAAAACCAGTTTTCAAGATTCTGCAACCTAATCCTTTACTCATTGCAATAAATCTTCCTACTCTGAATTTGTGAGAATCCCTCTTTCTAAATTGTGAGTTGGTTAAAGGCTTTGACACCCTTTGAAGTGAAACATCTCTTATTTGGGTTCTTACTTGCCACAATTGGAGGAGCACTACTAGGCAAGGAAGATAAATAAAATAATTTGGTTAAAATACTAGTTTGTATTGCTATTAATGGCAGATTGATCTGCTTTGTGGCAGCAATCAGGCTCTTTGGGGGCAAAGGTGGTTGAAAAGTGCAACAGCACAATAGCATTTCTCCTTTCCCAGAAACAAAATATTATTAACTTTGGAAAATAGGTGAGGTGGTTGAATGTCTTGGTTCTAAAACTATCCTCTCCACTCAGTCGGTATGTTCTATGACTGATTCTGCTTTGCATCATCTTCTGGACTAGCCATGTAAATTGGACAAATTACAGGACCAGTCGTATAAGTAGCTATAAAGATAAAATGGCCTCCTAGAAGAGCCTCACTTTAGTGGCCAGGTGGAAATTAATGCTCTTAAAAGAAATAAAAAGCCAACAGTCACAGCCACCTAAGAATTCCAGAAATTAGCAAAAAATGTAATCAGTTCAAAATCAGAGCAATAATATTTAATAAAAATTCAGACATTAATTATTAGTGCAAATCTGCCCTGAGGACAGTGAAACAGATAAGATTATTAATTTGCACATTCTTAGACTTGGAATACATGGAAGTTTTGTTTAGATTCTTTACCTTGGACACAGTCTTGGGCCTAATTCAAAATATGTATGTTCCATATGACTATGTACTGTACTAAGATTGGGAGACTACATAAATTAGTGTATATCTACTATGGACATTGCCCTATCCTGAAGAGATGTACTGAAATCTTATGTTTTCTATTTTGACTAGGAATGTTGGAGTCATTTTAAAGAAAGCACGATGGCAAAATCTACAAAGATCTGTTTCCTCAGAATATGTCCCCATTTCATAATGACATGTAAATTTCTATCTTTCTTCCAACAGCAGCTGTACTGAAATGTTGTAGGTGTTTATAGGAAATGATTCTGGGATCAAGTCATTAAAGTGGGAGGACTCCAGGTGGGAATTTCTCCTGTATAAAACATTTTGGAGTTGTAAGAGTCATGCAGTTGTGGTATGCCTCCTATTAGTCTCTGTGACACTAATACACAGAAGATACATTGCCAGATTGTATCTCAACAATTAGAAATTGCATTTATTCCCATTTACACAATTGTTTTAAAAACCTCAGAAGAAACTGAATTCAGTATTGATTTAGGATGTGAGATATAACTTTTGAGATACTTTCCATAAGACTGCTAATTTAACACATTAGTCCTCATGCGTGAATTGCAGGGTGTGTCTATTTTGATGCATGCTGGTTCCTTTGTGTGCATATCTTCCAAAGGGATGATTGGCAGTCATGGCTTCACAAGGATGAAAAAATGAGGAATGGCCTGTTTGCTTTCCTTCACAAAATACAGGAAATGAACCATTGCACAGAATGTCTATGTTAATTCTTAAATACACCTTTCTTTGAACTGTTTTTTCCACACGTAGTTCATATCCATCATTAGATCACCATACAGCAGTCAGTTTCTCTGTATATTATTTTTCCTTTCTTAGGCAATCATTTTTTTAATTTGTGGAAAATGGTGCTTGTTCCTGTTGTCACCACCCCCAATTTAGCTGATTTATGAAATTATGTTTTAATTATTTAAAAATGGTTTCTGAGATGCAAGCAAGAACTTGAAGATTTACAATCCAACAGCCTTTTGTATTTTATTTTTCAAAATAAAAGCTTTAAATGTGGCAATTTTTTGAGTCTGGATTTCTGAATTAAAATGATTTACAGGTTGGAAAAAGGGAAGAAAAAGTAATTTGAGGATATATGTGTGTGTGTGTGTGTTAATTATGCTGCCAATCAACTCATGAAAATCATATTTAAAATATGGCTATTTAACATTAAAATAGTAATAGCAACAAGTTTTATAAATAAATAATTAAATTTATTAATTAAATTTATACAAACTTAAAAATAAATACAACTCGAGAACAAAATGTCTTTTTTACTTTTTTCAAAAACCGTGTGCCCATAAATCTGTCTGGCACATAAAAAAGAAGGCTTTCCTGTGAGAACAAATTGTTTACCTGTGTTTGAACGCCCCTTGAATGCCCTTTTAAGGTGACCTTTCTAGTATTGAATTCATTATCTGAAAAGTATCTGGATCAGACTCTGTTTTCAGGTGTAAGGTGAAAACCTGGTCTTTTTTTTCCTACTGACAGCTTGATCCATGTTAATTTAGTTTCAATACACGACCTTCAGCACTAACAGTGTTGCTAATCCCCAGCCCTTGCAGGCAGTTGAGAGACCTATTGTTGTCATTAGCACTAAATAAGGCTGAAAGATTTAGAAGGACTAGAAAAGGTGCAGGACTTCTATCCAAGTTTCAAAAAAAGGTTATGCACAAGAGTGACTAATATCTCAATCCTGTGCACCTTTCTATTTTCAGGTTCTCTCTTAGTGACACCAAGCATGGAAATTGCTTAGTTTTTCTTTTCTTTTTTATAGCAGCTACAATCTGTGTTGATATTTTCATTGAACTATCCAAAATGCTACTGACAGCTTTCTTTGGCTGTCATATCTATTCCTGATCAGTTAGTATCCCTTTCCATTAATATAGAAATGGATACTTTGTGCTAATAGATACAGGTAGCCCTTGACCTATGATCATAATTGAGCACAAATTTTTTGTTGCTAATTGAGATGGTTAAGTGAGTTTTGTCCCATTTTAGGACCTTTCTTGTCATGGTGGTTAAGTGAATAACTGTAGTTGTTAATTTAGTAACATGATAAGTGAATCTGGCTTCCCCATTGACTTTGCTTGTCAGAAGGTTGCAAAAGATGATCACATGATCCTGGGACACTGCAACCATCAGAAACATGAGGCAGTTGCCAAGCATCTGAATTTTGATCATGTGACCAGGGGGTTGCCACAATGGTCAAAAATATAAAAAACAGTCATAAGTCATTTTTTTCAGTGCCAATGTAACTTTGAATGGTCACTAAATGAACTGTTGTAAGTCAAGTACTATATTGAACTGCATTTGTCATTTTGAAGCCTATTTACCCAGTTTGGAAAGATTATTTTGCAGTATTTCTTTCTAATGGTATCCCCTGAACAATTTAAGTGATAAATTTTAGTGATACACTACTCAAAAACATTGTACTATCACTATTCATAGAGGAAATTTTACTATGTGTATCTCTCCCATTTGAAAAAAAAAGTCCATTTAATCCCACTGCTTTGTGTCTTTTAATCTGTTGCCAATCTGCAAGAGCAACTGCAATTTATTCCAGGGAGGTGAGTTGTTTTAGAAAGTTAATGAAAGTTGCCTCTGTGAAATCCATGGCTGTTCCATTTCAGGAAATTTTTTATTCTATACGATTATTTTCTTTTTAACAATACAGTATTTTCAACAATATTCCTGAAATAGAAGTAAAATTAATTGCCATCAAATATTTTTTATTCTTTCATTCTATTTGAAAATCCAGGTCTTGTTCATGTTTGCATGCTCATAGAAACATAGAAAAATGCAAACAAAAAAAAAAAGACCAAGTGATACATCACATCTACCCTTGAGTTTTCTTTTCTTTTTATATTTTTGTTAGATGATAGACATGTGTTTATCCCTACCATATTTAAATTTAATTAGTGATGACTGACCCACTATCTCCACTGGAAATTGGTTCCAGGCCTCCACTACTCTTCCTAGGAAGTAATACTTTCTAACATTACTTTTGAACTTCCCTCCTGTCACTTTGAGGTTATGCTCCATATTCCTGATGTTTGCTTAATAGTAAAAATCCTTGTTATAAGGCCACTTGGGTAGATATCATCTATACCAAGCATTTGGTTCTTTTTAGTTTGTCATTTTGGCTTATAATTTCATCTCGTGGAAGTAGAGTACCTCTATATCCTAGTTTATCCTTTTCCTTTATGTCTGATAAAGTCCTAGCGGATGCATATACACAGCAACATTAAACATTGTACTTTTAACTTCACTATTTTTGTGGTTTAATATGTTGTGCAAGCCCAACTTATTAGGAAAATGTATGGTTTCAAGCCAAGGCCTTTTTAAAACACAGACTGCACCAAGTTCTTTTGAAAAGGCCCAATTCTCTCTAAAATAGATCTGTTGTCAATTCCAATTTCTTTTTATTGGTTTTGTCTATTGAGGTACTTTGAAATAATGAAGTAAGATGACATTTTAACTATCCACTTTTGTACTTATGAAGTGCAGGAATTGGGTTTGTCTAGTCTAGTGAAAAGGACTGGAGTGACATGATAGCAGTATTCCAATATTTGAGGGGCTGCCACAGAGAGGAAGGGGTCAAGCTATTTTCCAAGGCACCGAAGGCCAGACAAGGGATAATGGATGGAAACTGAAGGAGAGAGTTAACCTGGAAATCAGGAGAAACTTTCTGACAGTGAAAACAATCAACCAATGTAACAGCTTGCCTTCAGAAAGTGTGGGTGCTCCATCTCTGGAGGCTTTTAAGAAGAGACTGGACAGCCATTTGTATAGGATCTCCTGCTTGAGCAAGGGGTTGGAAAAGAAGACCTCCAAGATCCCTTTCTACTATGTTATTCTATTGTTTTCTGAATAATGCAATTTCAAATACTAAATTACATTTCAGTAGACCGCACTACCAGTTGCTCCCCTCAAAAAAAAAACATTCAACATATTGTGCAAATCCAGAAAATCGGTTAATTCAACAATCAAGTGCACTGTGTGAACACATCCATCACTTGGGAACGTTTATCTCCCTTTCCCCCACAGGACAATTGCTCTACTTCATTTCAAGGGGGAGATATGATAATATGAGGTAGCAAACAACAGAGACGAAGCATATTCATTATCTATTGGTGGAGCAAGTTAAATTTTCCATACATCACTTCGGCTGCTCTTTGTGAACCTCCGTCTCCCTGGCAACTAGAAGAAGCGCGAGAGTCAGAGCTGAGACCTTCCGTTGCTGCATCTCGTCGCCATGGGAGACGGAGAACGGCTCGAGCCAGTTAGAGGATGTAGCAGAGAAGGGGGCGGAGCTTTTTTGGCCTCACTCCGTCCACTGGACAGCCTACAATCTGTCTTGTTCTCGTCAATCCCAAAGTACCCGGATGGCGGAGGCCTGCGGGGCAAGGAAAGGCGGTTGGGGAGCCGGACTTTGATTGAAGAGCGCCGATATATCACTCCAGTTCATCCAGGAGGCAGCGAGGAGCAGCTTCGGCGACGGCAAATATCGCCGCCATTTTCCATCGGCGAATAGACCAACAGGTGAGCAGATGGGAGGCCAGTCTTAGAAGCTCCTTACGGCTTGGCTCCGCCCCGATCACTAAGTGATCTTGATGCCCCGCCCCTTTTCGGAGTGTGGCCAAAACAAAATGTGTGGGGGGGGGGGATGGGAGAGCAGGTGAAGAAGTCCAGTTTCTTTCTGGGCCCTTTGGGAGCGTGGAAGTGGCAGACCTTTCCCTTTGGGGTGTGGTCCCTTAGCAAGGGTCACATTTTGCCCATTCTTTTTTCTTTTTGATTGCTTTCTGCCAAGCAAAGCTTATTTCGTTTATTCGGGTGGATGAGAGAGGAAAAGGGAAGCCCCTTCTCTTTGGAGGGATCTTTTGTAACCTTAACTTCCAGATATTTCAGATTACAATCCTCATCGACTATAAGCAGCCTGACCTTCGTTGGCTGCTGTAGAGAGCCCCATATCAAGTGGGCTCCAGGCAGGGAAAGGCCAGCTTGGAGCCAGACCAGCTGGTGGCTGTTTCTGTTGTTATTAGGGCTTCAATATAGGGGACAAGGAGCAGTAAAGTTGAGGCCTGTCTGTGTGGATGGGGAGGTAAAGGGTAATTGTCTTTATTTGGCTGCACTGCTTTTAATTTTTGTTTAGCTTTTGTATGAAATTTGAATTTGAGTCTAAAGCAGGTGTGTCCAACCTTTTGGCTTGCCTGGGCAGCAATGAGTGAAGAGACATTATCTTGGACAGCATATAATAATGTACATGATTGCACATAAATGTTAAAAGTTTAGGATCTTGTGAGGTTGCATTGCTAGCTGTCCAGGGCTGCATGTGATTTATTGGCCAGGAGTTGGACAGGCCTGGTCTAAAGACAAGGTTGCGGCTCAGATACTTTCTTTCTCCTATGGTTTAGCTTGGGTGTCATTCTACCATGAAAGCTGTGCCTTACAGTAATTGTAATTTGCACCTCACACAGCATCAGTTGAGAAATAGCATTAGGCTTCTTCTCATCAACAAGATAAAAAGGCCCACCTGTGCTCAAGTCCCTAAGGATAAAGCAGCAGGGGTGTTATGCTCTGCATTTGCCTTTCCTTAAGCAGCAAAAGAGGATGAAGATCTACCAGATGGAAAAAGGTGGTACAAATTCAGTCTTTATATTTTAGTTCTTAATCCCTTAATACTTTTGGGTTAATTCAATAAGATTAAGAATAGGGGCAGGCTTATTGTAGGATGGATTTATGAAGATCTTTTTGTGAATTGGAAAAGAGATTTGTAAGTAGTTCTGTCTAATTGAATAAGATTGAGTAAGAGCAAAAAGGAAAAGAGGATCTTGGCTGAGCCCATTAAAGCTGCTGTCATAGTAAATATAAGACAGCTTGAAATGCCAAAAGACTCTGCTGTTTCTCCTACTAATATGACTATCCACTTTGCAAATTATACAAACAGATTTATTCATTTACACAAATTATGAAGCACCAGTCAAAAAATATATGACAAAGCAAATAGGTATGTGGCTTGCAAATTGGGAGAACATTTTTTTCATGTAATTAGATGAGATAATTTTAAAATCAGTTTAGAACAAACATTTTGTAAATAAAGGGTGTGTCAGATGTATGCTTGTCTACAATTTACAATATAAAATATTGTACAAAAAATCTACAAAAAAATAAAATGAGATGAAGTTAGAAAATGGTAAATAGAAATATTTTGTGACAAATATCAAATGGGAGAATACACTACCAAAACACTGCTGATGAAATGTTTTGCATTTCTATAAAATTTGGACCAAAATCTGAAAATGTGTACTAAGAGTAAACTTCCTGTATCTTTTACCCATTATATTTATATATATTTAATCAAATTTAGGTACTATCTATCTTGCTCCTAGGGTAAGAATAAAGTTGCATTAGATTTTCTTTCATGCTGCTATTCAGGATGAGTATATAATTCCTTGATGCTATAGAATAGGAACAAAAATTGTTTCTATAGGCATCAGAGCTTTAAAAAGTGTGTTTTGTAGCATAGATTATTCCTAGTCCAAGAAATATATCTTCAAAATAAAGCTAATTTATTTTTTATTTCAAACATGAACAATCTCCTTCCTCCCCAGGAATGCTTACTTGCAGTCCAGATGTTATTCTCCACTGTGTGTCATGATGTTTGAAGTGACCAGGAAAATGAAACGCAAATTAAAAGCAATGTCACCAATCCCTGAAAGGGATAAAAATTCAGGTTAAAAAAAATCATCTTTATTTTCCTGTTTCCATTTCTTGCTCACTACTGGAGAAATCGACTACATAAATTTGGCAGCCCACATTTTTATACATGGTGTTATGACAAACACACACACACCCCACTTTCTGGGGAATATTTTCTGTCAAACTATTTATCATAGTAAAATTCTACTTAATGGTAGTTGATTTCTGTGAATTGCTGATTATTGCAAAAACTGGCTGAGGAATATTTCCTTTTGTGTACTGTGCTTTTGGGACCACTTTCAGCAAGGGGAGTGTCCAAAAACAGGCTGCCCAGTCTGAGAGCAGATGTGGTTGACAGCTTTGGGGATTACCAAATGGCTACTGAGCAACAGGTATTCCCAACAAGTTGAATTTGGAAAAACAAATAACAGTCCTGCAACTAAAAGCAAGTTGAACAACCGGTCAGTGAAGCATATTTCCACTGAGGATTTGGTTGGCTATTAAATCTGATAGGAAGGTTTCCTAGTGCTCTTGTGCAAATGGGGGCCCTCGCACAGCATGTCCCTCAGAGCTTGTAGATAATTGCAGGTGCAATAACTATACTGATTGTGATTCACTTCCTGAGAATAGCAGTGACACCTGTAAACAGCCAATGTGGAGCATCTCTGAGTGCCTGCTGCCCCATAGTGGTTCATTCTTATTAGATTTCTTTTAAAAAGGCTCTTGAATGAACATGGCTTTTAACTTCCCATTAGCCTTGCCACGGCTGCCTACCAAGCAAACCCAGTTACAACAGTCAGAGGGATGGTTGTAGTCACAGGGCAGACCAAAGCTTGTGGACACCTGGGCGATGCCATGTCGAGCTCAGATGCAGAGGATGATTTTCAAGAGCCTGCCACTCCAACAGCAACCCAGGCAGAGCACTCCCTGCCCCTGCTTCCTCAGCAGGTGAGTGATTTAATACATGCTGTATCCTTGTGCATTATTCTGTTTGTGCTAGCATAGCAATACTCCACTAAAGCAATACTTTAAAATAAATTCAAATCCTTAGAATATGTTTGTCCTGGGTTTTAAATATTCTGACAATTAAGAATTTTTCAAGTTATCCATATCTAGGTTTCAAATGTATTTATTTTTATTTAATTAGACTTTTATCCTGCCTTTTGTTCAGAAGCTCCAGGCACTTACATAGCACTCCATTTTTTCCAACAACAATCCACTGAGATGACAGAAAATAAGTGGTTCAAAATCACCAAATAAGTTTCTTTGGCTGAGAGTGAATTCCTTAGTTCCAGTCCAACAGTGTAACCACTGTGCTACACTGCCCTTTTGCATGTAAGAATAATTCTTCTAAATGTATGTTCTAAGCTAAGCTGAGTTTTCAAGGAGGTTGATTTTAGCTGAATGGCTGCCAGCCTACCACATGTTGAACAATATTCTTGGATTTGGAACCCAAGAAAAGCCACAGATAGAGGCCTGTGCAAACTTTAGTAGACCAGTTTACAGACCTAATCAGTTTTCTTAGTAGTTCGAAAGGTGTGAATACCAAATCTATTTTATTAGTATTTGGAATGGGTGAAAATTCCTAAAATTCACAGATAAGTTTGCTATTGCAGATAGACAGTCTGGCTTGAGTATACTGGTCGTTCCTAGTAAAGGTCTTTCTGTATGTACCCTTTCTCTGTCTCTTCTGTTTACAGTCACCCAGGGATTGGTCGTGAGTTAAGTTTCAACGTTCATGCAGTTAGCAACTGCCCAATTACAGTATGTTTTTACCCTGCTTAGGCTCTTGGGAATGTCAGATCTGCCCTTGGTGAAACATGTTAAACATATGTTACGTGGATGTTTTTGCTGCAGAATGCTGTATAAAGGACCTATTTTGAGGACTATCTAGAATGGGTGTTAAACTGGTGGCCCTTGGGCCAGATGCATCACGCGCAAGCAACACCCATCCCAGCTCCACGAATGGGAAAAAGTCACGAAAGTCAAGTGACGGCAACATGATGTGGCGAGTTTTACACCAATTATCTAGAAACATCATTTATCCAGATTGCAGCAGCATGGGTAGTAATAGACATTGACATGATTGATTTTGCATTAACTACCGCAGCTGCACTAATTACCAGTTTGGTTTCAGCACAATTCAAAATTGTGATGATTTTATTAAATGGTTTGGGCACAAGTTGCCTAAACAATTATCTCTTCTCACACCAGCCTGCCTACTTGCTTCTAAGAGTGATAGAAATAGGATTTATTAGGAACTCCCTATCTTTTTGTTTCCAACAATCGGTGGGATTCAAAAAATGTTACTACCAGTTCTGTTGGCGTGGCGTGGTGGGCTTGGCTTGGTGGATGTGGCAGAGGAAGGATACTGTAAGATCTCCATTCCCATCCCACTCCAGGGGAAGGTTACTGTAAAATCCCATTCTCCCCACCCCACTAAACTGCTTTCCAGCTTTGTGCAGGGCAACCAAAGAAGACCCAGCCGATCAGCTGGGACTCAATGGGAGGCAGAGAATAGATGGGGGCGGGGCCAGTCAGAGGTGGGATTTGCTGGTTCTCCGAACTACTCAAAATTTCTGCTACCGGTTCTCCAGAACTGATCAGAACCTCCTGAATACCACCTCTGCCAACAATGTTTATTCCAGCATTGTGATTAAAATAGACATTCCACAAATGATCTCAAATAAAATATAGCTGTTTGACTTGTAATTATTGAAACCCTCTAAAATTGTCTCTAATTATTTTTGAAATCACCTAAGAAGGACCTTCTTATTGCAGTCTTGCCTCTATTGTCAATTGTTATTAGTAATTTCTATAACACTCTTCCTCCAAAGGTCAGTCCAATCATGAAATCTGTAATCCTTAAATACAAATTTTAAATCAACATTTGTTTTCAAAAGAGAAAAAAAAAACAAATTCATAAGAAATAGCCTGCTCACTGAAAATATTGATGTCCTATGAATGGATAAGCAGGTATATCCACAATTGTCTAAGAGAAAACATTGGAGTTAGATATACTTTTCTTGGATGGCTTTATTTAGGGACTCCTTGACTTACGACCATATTTGAGCACAATATTTCTGTTGCTATGTGAGACATTTGTTAAGTGAATGTTGCCTCATTTTCCTTGGGGCCATATTTGTTAAGTGAATCACTGTAGTTAAGTTAGTAACATGGCTGTAAAATGAATCAGGTTTCCCCATTGACTTTGCTTGTCAACAGGTTGCAAAAGATCACACGACCCTGGGAATTGCAATAGTCATAAATATGAGTCAGTTGCCAAGTGCCTGAATTTTGATCACATGACCTTGGGGAATGCCGGAACAGTTGTGTGAAAAATGGCCATGTCATTTTTTTCAATGCCTGTTGTAACTTTGAATGGTCATTAAGCAAACTGTTATAAGTTGAGGACTACCTCTAGTTCATTAAATGATCCAAATTCTGGTTTTATGTGAGAATGAAAACATTTTTCTATTTTCTCCATGCTATGTCTAATTTTCAACACCATTTATTATTTCCAGTTCCCTGAAGTAGTTCCACTAAATGTTGGAGGCACCCATTTCATGACCAGGCTGTCAACACTGAGACGTCATGAAGACACCATGTTGTCAGCCATGTTCAGTGGTCGGCATTACATCCCAACAGATGCTGAGGGCAGATATTTTATTGACAGAGATGGAACATATTTTGGGTACATAATATTTGACAATGTGCTATTTTTTTCATAAAGTACTTGGACCAATAGGTTAAGTTCATATCCTGTCCTTATAGCTCTTCTTCCTTTGCACTCGTATTTTCTTCAGAGTGAGGCACAGAGAAAATAAGTAGAATGCCAAGGATTGCTACTTCATTAAGTAACATCCATGTTGCAACAGGTACTGTGTTTTAGAAAGTAGTGTTTTAGATATATTTCCACTAATCCATTTTTTGTTCCTTAATATTGCTAGTTGCTAGAACCTCAGTGGCGCAGTGCTGTACTGCAGGCCACTTCTGCTGACTATTGGCTGTTCAAATCCCACCAGGCTCAAGGTTGACTCAGCCTTCCATCCTTCTGAGATTGGTAAAACAAGGCCCAGATTGTTGGGGGTAATATGCTGACTCTGTAAAACCGCTTAGAGAGGGTTGTAAAGCACTATAAAGCGGTGTCTAAGTAAGTGCAATTGCTATAGTTTCAGTTCAGGTTATTTATTCAACGCTAGGCTGCAACTTTCAATGCAATTTATTCTCGTGAAACTGTCTTTATACTTCTTAGTTACCTGAATAATGTATTGCATTTTTAAAATAATAATAAAAAATATCACTACACTCAATAACATCTCTCACAAGAGAACAGGTGACCACTATTTCAGCAGTTCTGTTTGTTTCCTTTTTGTTTTTAGTGATGTACTTAATTTTCTACGATCTGGTGACTTACCCCCAAGAGAACGAGTGAGGTCTGTTTACAAGGAAGCTCAGTATTATTCTATAGGACCATTGCTAGACAGTCTAGAAGAGCTCCAGCCCCTCAAAGGAGAGAAAGTCCGGCAGGCGTTCCTGGGCTTAATGCCTTATTACAAAGGTAAATTGAGAATATAGCAATTGTAGTGGTTTATTGCCTTCTGCCAAGTCACCATTTTAGAAGTTTAAAAATGAAAAATCAGTACATACTGAGGTAGTTTTTTACACATTATTTTATCTGTTCTCTGGCTCTTGCTCATTTTAGTGAATTTAGGAACTTTCCCTTGTACCTTCAGACTTACAAAACTGTTAATGTAGCCTTATGATAAAGTAAAATTAGCTCATCTGCTCATGTTTCCTGTCTGGTTTACCTGGTAGGCAGTAAGAGTTCAATTCCTTCAAATTGTGCTTTCCCCTTTAGCTTGGTAGGATCTTGGTTCAGACACTTGGATTGGTTGAATGACAGCTGGCTGCTGCTGGTAGTGACTGTGTATAGAATAGGAGTACAAACTGGCTTTCACACTGCCACTTCGTAGCCTATCATGTGCAACTCAATAAAGTTTTAGGTGTTTAGTGCCATAAAGTCAATATTAAAAAATCAATCTTCAGAGCAGTTGACAGGTATTATGGAGGGATACCCTATGATGCAGTGATAGTCTTCTGTTCGCCACACTGCACGCTTGTGTGTACCTCCTTATAGTTAAGAAGCATGTACAGTGGTGTGTGCTGTGTCACTCCGACTGCAATGGGCAACTCTCCTGCATCCTTGTCAACTGTTAGCAGAGGCTATTTTTAACCACAGGTTTAGTGTTCTACTGCAAGAAAGCTCAACCCATGTTTAAAACTATTGTAACAGGTGTATTGTACTCATTACAAATATTGTATGGAGGAAGGAGTTGTGTGATACATTGGCAACACTCCTTCCTGCTTTGTTTTGCAGTCTTCCTAACACTAAAGTATCTTAGTCCAGGATCATAAAGCTAGAAGGGACCTCAGAGGTCTTCTAGGCCAAATCCCTGCTCAAGACAGGAGTCTTACACCATCCAGGTCAAAATGACTGTCCAGTCTATTTTTGAAAACCTCAGTGATAGAGTTGCTTTCTGTATATTTTGAATTAGATGTGTTAATGTTTTTTTTACTGTTTACTGTTTTGTATTCTTTTTTCTTATTTTAAAAAGTTTTAAGATGTTAATTGTAACATGTTTTGAATTATGAGCCGCCCACAGTCATTTGCTGAGAAGGGTGGCTAGAGAAATCAAACAATTAAATTGCTATACCATTGATTAATTACCTATTGTATACACACACAAATAAGATAAAACCAAATATTAACATCCAATTACAAGTGGGGTGGGCAGGGAGATGGATTACTCATCATCCGTCAAAGCTTACCACCTTTCCTATTCCAGCCCATTTTAAAGAGGTAGTTGACTTTTGGATAGAAGGAAAGGAAACAACTCAGTCCCTTGCCTTAATCTGGGTTGAACATAGTGAATGAGGATAGTTACTATTCAGTAATAGCACACTTGCGGCAGGATGGGATTCGGGTTGGCAGCAAGGCTTATGCCAATAGTTCCTTGTGGGCTCAAGGATAGGTGGATAGCACTTTAAATGAGACACAAGGAAGAGATGAGTTACTAAATGCAGTAAACCCCATTTTAAGCTAGGCCAGGTGCTAAGATGTGCTAAGGATTTAGGTGAGGTGTTCATTTAAGAATCAAGACAGTGGTTTGACTGTATGACTTGTTTCTCCCCACTACCAGTTGCAAGAGGATTTTGTTTTTGTTTTGTTTCACTCTAAATAAGTTATTTAATGACAAAAACTGTTTCTGGGAAGGCATTCTCACCACATTTCACTCATTGTTTCTCTTTTGCTTTTTAGAGCATCTAGAACGAATCATTGAAATAGCCAAGCTGAGGGCAATGCAAAGGAAAGCTCGATTTGCTAAGCTAAAGATCTGCGTCTTCAAAGAAGAGATGCCCATCACACCCTACGAGTGCCCACTTTTCAACTCCCTCCGTTTTGAGAGGAGTGAAGGAGAGGCCAAGCTTTTTGAGCACCACTGTGAGGTGGATGTGTCCTTTGGGCCATGGGAAGCTGTGGCAGATGTGTACGACCTCCTCCATTGCATTGTGACAGACCTTTCCGATAGGGGCATCACAGTGGACCACCAATGTATTGGTGTGTGTGACAAACACTTGATTAACCATTACTACTGCAAGCGCCCAATCTATGAATTCAAGATCACGTGGTGGTAGGCCCTTAGCACAAGGAGCATAAAAGAGAGCAGGCTGGTGTGTAACCTTTTTTGTGTATTACCAGTCTGGGTTCTGTGAACTGTGGTATTGCTGATAGGTGTTGGAATGTGTCTATCTTGCAGGAGCATTTGTCCTCCAAAGCTAGCTGTGAAAGCTCACTGGAATTTGCCCTATGCTTCTTTGCTTCAAAGAAGAAAAATCCTGCTAAAAGGAAGCATGTTAATGTGGATACTAGAGAAGTCACAGCCATAGATAAGAATGGAGGGTCGTGTTGCTTACACAGCTTGCAGAGGTGTTTAAAGGGCTCTTACACACAGCTGACCTCCATTGTCCAACTGCCTCACTTGCTTTGCACTGCTTTGCAAAAATGGATCTTGCTGGGGTGAAATGTTACAAAGGGTTCTTTCTGCAGAGACTCAGTTGGCTGTTGAAGTAGCCATCTGGTGGCAGAATATAGCAGCACTTTATTTTGTACAACTTCCATTTCTGCTGCTCATGATTTCATTGTTACAACATTTAGATCAAAAGAATGAAGTATATCTGAATACTGAGATGTTTTTTTTAAAGAAGAAAATGGCTGAAAAATTCCTTAAATCTGTGTTTAAAGTTATTGTTTTAACTATAAATCTGTGCTGGGGTATGTATGTATAGATCTGTTGAAAATTAATTTATTTCCACCTTTCTGTTAAGGAATGATAATTTCATTTGTTGGATGTGTCATGGTTTCTTCAAACTATCTGGATTGCATTCTTCATAAAAAATGAAAAGAAATTATTACAAAAACGAAATGTGCCTGCTCTTTATACCGACAGCTTTACTTGTTGATAATTTTTAAATACATGTTTCCTTGCAGAGATGGGTCTGCAGTTTATTTTCTGAAACTGAGCCAATCAGAGTTGTTTATGTCCCAATATAAAGATAAGATTAAGAGGAGGCATGAAAAATAGTTCAGATCTCCTGGTCCGATAGTGCTGTCTGCTTCTTCAACTGCTGAGCTACAGTGTGATTTGTTGAGTTTGGCTTATTGTAATGTGGATTCAGTTACCATGGTTTGTAAACTACAGTTTTGGATCAGTACGTTGCACTAATTCAGCCAATCACAGCTTACTCAAAGGTGATAGTTAAAGTGTGGCTTAGCAGAATGCATAATTTCAGTAATGGTAAGATAATATATTAGGTTAAGCCAAATTAAGATGGATGTACTGCTCACTCACATATGCTCACCTTCTTCTTGATTGACAGGCGAAGTCTCACATTGGTCTTAAGCTATTCGATTGGACCAATGGTTGCCATCCTTTTGGAGATCTATTAAGACAACCTATTATCTGTTGGGTCATTTTTTGAAAGAAAGGTAGTGCAGTCTGATGTAGCCAGAATGAACGGTAGATTTTCCCATCTGATTTGTGTTCTCCTCCTTTGCCGTTTCCTGATATTTGGTGCCATCTCTTGACCCTAATATCCCCCCTCTCTTTCCACACAGCATAATTAGGCTGACCATATTTATTTTATCCCCATGCTGGATGTTCCCGCCATCATCATTATCTCAAGAGTACATGATATGACTGCATGGATGCTACAACAGCCAGAAATTTGGAACTAAAACTGGTAATGTCGTGGAACCATTGGTAGAATTGGAGAGGGGCCCTCTAGGGGGAGTGAAGAGACATTTCAACTTAGAATCCGGAGGAGGAAATGTGTGAGGTCAAACCCTTACGTCTGTAGTTGCCATTTCCCAAAGGAAAGAAGAGTTTGGTGAGATTCTTGTAATATAGATGATCAACAATAAACTCTACTTGGGCCTATTCATGAGTGATTCCAATTGCTTTCGCCTGAACGGTATAAACAATGGGTAAATTCCAATTCCACGGGACTAATGGGTCCCACATATTTTATACGCTCCTTAATTTAGCATATTTATCTTTGTTCAAAAATTATTCTGGTATAATTTGATCTAACCAAAGGGCACAGTATAGAAAATAGATGGTGGAAGAATCCTTTCAGAGAACCATGGAGGAAAATATAGTGGCTGAAGAATTTTCAGAAAATGGAATAATTAAACTTAGAAAAATGTGCTTTTCTGTCTCTTGAATCCTGATGTTCATCAAATATTGGATGAGTCCCTATCAAACTTACATAGTCCCATTAGGTATTTCTTTTCTGACATTTTTATTGTCACTTTGGGTGACTGTCAGTTGCTAATTGCAAGGGCTCCTATGCAGTGCATAGTTCTTGAGCAGAGATTGAATAGGGTACCAGCCATAGCACAAGTAGCACATATATAAAACCTGTGAGGCTAATGGTTAGGGGTTAACATGCTAGCTGCCTATCTTTTGCTTGGAGTCAGTTTCCTGGGAGATTAATGATCTTCTGATGTATTGGGCCTCCCAGGTAGTTGGTGCAACAACCCTAGGTAGCTGCTGGACAATGTAGCAATCTAAAATTAGTGAAGAAGAATCTTAGTATACTTATTAAAATTACTGATACCACAATCAATGCAGTGTTTACAGATGGGATGCTGCACATTGCTACAATTAGGAATTATTCAGAAAAACATGATCCTCAGAAATTATTTAGGCTGCAATCCTAAAAGCACAGAATCATCACTGTGGAACACTTACTTTTGAAAACATAGGATTATTATTTTCTTAAAACCGTTGATTTGTGAATTTAAAGCCTCTCCTCACTCTGCCCTTCAATACAAATAAATTATCGTGCAGAAAAATATAATCTGGATATAAATGCTTTACATAAATAATGTGTAATAAATCAATTTAGTAATTTCTGTTATGATTATTGTTTAGACACTTAAATAATTTTAATCAGATGCATTGGTACCTCATCTTTTTGTGCAGTCCGATATATAAATGCGGGTTTCAATAAATGTGTATAAAATTGCAGCCAAAATGTCATCTGGAAGAAAAAAAAGAGTGAAATGTAATTGGAATGTGGATGTTGCTCTTTATGTCAAAATGGCAAACAATGCTAAAACAAAATGTGATTCCTCCAAACTCCTCATGTGTAAACTGTATTGAAATATGTTGTGTCAGTATTGTGCAATAAATTATCTCATTACCTAATCTAATTTGCAGTGATCTTTTTAAATCTGACCAATTCCACAGAGCTGGAATTAATCTGCCTAGTACTACATTTTTTAAAGCCAACATTCTTGGGGCAGAAATGTAAGAATAAAATCATGCAGTACAGTTATGACGAAAGCCAGCCAGTAATTTGGTGTCCATAAATGTGTATTTGGGAGAGAGGGGAGATGTGAAGAATATTCTTGATGTTCCCCAAGACCTGAAGAAGGACTTCATAAAGTAACTGTTTAAGCGAGCCAAAACAGGTAATCCTTAGTAAATGATGGTATTACCAGCATCTCTCACAAAGCGATGCAGTCATAAAATATGATATATGGGATCGCATTGACTACGACAGCAGATCTGGCAGTTCCAGTTAAGTGAATTCTGCATGGCTGTTAAGCACAATGTCATGCACTTGCTGTTTGCGACCTGCCAGCTCTGCCATGGACTTTGTCAGAAACCAGCATTGAAGGTCATAAATATTAATCACATGACTGTGGGATACTGACCATTGCAACTGTGAGCCAAGTGCAATCATGGAGACACTGATGGCTGTAATGTGAAAGACCTGTTGTAATTCTAGTTCAGCACTGTCATACCTTTGAGTAGTCTTTGAACAAGTGATACTTAAGCAAGGATTACCTGTATTCTTAAATTGAAATCTTTAGCTTTAAAAATATATGAAACATATTCAGAAGGTATTTAACAACATTCAGGGTCAGTATATTTTTAAAGTGCATCCATATATGTCCACACTGAAGTCTCTTGGGTTTAAGGAAACTTCTTTCCTGAAAAATAAATCTGCAGCCTAAATCCATAAACAGAATTCTGCTAAGTCTTACATAATGCTTTATGTAAAGATAGGACACAGTTTGAGTACTTTAATCCAAGTTTTTTAGTTTAAGAGGATGTAGAAGTAAAAATCATAGCGGCTCAGTTCATATAACACAAGTGTCTAGGCTACAACTGGTCTGCAAGAAATGTGGCTGAAATGTGTTGCCACATATTGAAGATAAGAAAGCCTTCATGATTATTTGTCTGTAGGTAGCAACTACAGTATATGGAGCAACTTTATGGAAGATAAAATTGAAAGGGCAGGAAAAACCAAAAGAATACAGATTAGGTGAAATCTGGCTCAAAAACAGTAACTGACAGACATTGGACTCCAGTGGACAATCACTTAAACAAGAGTCAGCAGTGTGCAGCAGCAGCCAAAAATGCTAATATAATCCTTGGTTGTATAAACAGAGGCACAGAATCAAAATCACATGAAGTACCACTTTATAAATCCTTAGTAAGGTCAGACTTGGAAACTACATTCAGTTTTGGTTACCACATTACAAAAAAGATGTTGAGACTTTCAAAAAAGTACAAAGAAGAGCAACTAAGATAATTAAAGACCTGGAGACTAAAAACATATGAAGAACAGTTGCAAGATTTGGGTTTGGCTAGACTAGAAAAAAGAAGGACTAAGGGGATATGATAGCAGTATTCCAGTATTTGAGAGGCTGCCACAAAAAGGAAGGAATCAATTTGTTCTCCAAAGCACCAGAGGGCAGGACAAGAAACAATGGATGGAAACTTAATCAAGGAGAGAAGCAACCTGGAATTAAGGAGAAACTTCCCATAGTGAGGACAATTAATCAGAGTTGTAATTGCAGGAATGTTCCAATCTTGGATGGCAAACCTCTGATAAAGAATGTTTCCAAGCAAATACAACTCAGGCAAACAAAGTCACTAATCTATGGATAAAGGAGGATAAGAGAGGGGAAGTAGACATATGTTAGACTTTAACTAGAGATAATTAATTGTATGGATTACTGTACTAAACAGTAACGAAAGTTAAGCAGTAACCAAAATTAACCAATGATGGAGGATAACTAAAAATGTATATAAATGCAAGACTATACTCCAATA